CTCGCTTGTGCTCCAGGGAGTGCAATTTTAGGGATTTTAATTGGTCTCAATTTAACACTTTATTCATTAGGTTCGGGCAGTAACAGTAACCCTCTCCAGATTTGAATGGGGCTGTTAATGTAAAACAATATTCCACTACAGATGAATCTAATGACTAATGTCTTGAAATACCATCATTGGTTGGCATTTCTTGTTTGAAAGGCTCCTGTTTTCCAGCCTTTCGTCTTTCATGAAGGTGTGGCTGCAACTTTGTGTTCTTTAAAAGTAAGACTGTCAATGGAAGATTGAGGGACAGAATCAGAGCTGAAGTCTTCAGTGCAAGTATAACAAGGGGGGGAGTAGACATGCACATGCGTACAATCCACGTATTCGTATCACACACTTTGGTGTGATGGGTCGAACCTAATCTCTGGAGTTTGAACTCTTGTCACAGGTTCTCCACACGTTCCTTTGTCAGACACCTCTGTGCCTGCCAAAGAATTCAGTTTGTTTATTCTGCCAGAAAAAAAAATGAGAACAGATTTGCGATTGTAGGTTAAAAATCTGTTAACTGAAAGTAAACTTTAAGCAAGTAATGTTTTAACGAGGACCGCGTGATATTTGTAGATGTGGGTAGTATAAATAGCATGGGATCCTGTATACCTGGCTTGTGACCACTTGTTTCTTCATTTCGAGTGGCGTCGTTAGCCATGTCTTGAGGTTATCTTGAGATGATTTCGGGGGTTTGTATCCCCGCGGCCCGGTCCTCGACCACGTCTCCACCCCCAGGAAGCAGCCCGTGACAGCTGACTAACTCCCAGGTACCTATTTACTGCTAGGTAACGGTGGCATCAGGGTAAAAGAAACTCTGCCCATTGTTTCTCCCCGGGACGCGGGATCACGCGTCCAGTGTTCTGTCTGCTCAGCCACCGGCTCCCTAATGCAAACCCAAGTTTCCTGAAACGGTTGAATGCAACTTAAGTCACGCACCTGCCAAGTCTGGCGCTAATGTAATCATATTGTGTTTTGTCCAGCAGCGTTATGCCACGGGAAGCTAAATATAGTACGAGTGCATTATTCCGGAGACTAGACTGTCTGTCCTTGGAAGGGCGGCGCGGAAGTTATGGAGGGTAGTGGTCAGGACCTCGGGAGCGACCTGTCTCCCATTGCCAGCACCACCGTGACTCACCTCACAGGTATGCCTCAACCACTGAGCAAATGTTGAGGTGGGTACTAGTCGGGATTTCAGGAACGACCTGTCCCTCTTGCCTTCTTCGCTGCCACAGGCAGTGAAACTGGAACAATGATTGATATGGGCATAATGCTTGTCATTATAAATATTTAAATATACTGTACATTTGTTTACATGTTAGATGGGTGTAGTAGAGGGTGTGGGCGTGTTGGTGGGGGTGTAGGTACAGTGTTGGTGGGGGTTTAGTAGAGGGTGTGAGGTGGTGTACACTGCTGGTGGGGGTGTAGTAGAAGGTGTGAGGTGGTGTACAGTGTTGGTGGGGGGCCAGGGTCACCACAAGTGGTAAGAGGAAGTTCATCTCCCTTAAGGTCAAGGCCACTAACACTCAACTTTCTCCTGACAGCCTGCCAGGGTGACGTCATGCCAGGTTATTGCTACGTATTCATTACAGGTATTTCCTCTTTGGCATGAAAACCAACTTCGGCAACCCTCACTTTCAGTTTGGGATCTACACTAGTGAAGTTGTGTATTGAAAAATTGGAAAAAATCGGAGAAAACCTGTTGATTCTCTGTTTAAGAGTGTAGACTATATCTTTTTCTAACATGTTACCATTATAATGTGGATCAGACACTGCCGTGAATGAGATACTTTCAGGCAAGAAACCTCAAGATTTGTAGGTCGTATTACGATCATGTCAATGTATTGGAACACGACAGAAGGGTACTGTTAAGCACCCATGTACGTGCTTAGAGTGCCAGCGTTAGGTTGGAGGTCGTGGTGGGGGTTTGGGGTGTGGGGGATGGTAGGAAGGTCGCCCAGCTCGAGTGCCCAGTCTTCAGAGAACTGCATGAGCTGCAGCAGTGTGCTCCGGACCTCGCAAAGTCCTTCAGTACTACCACCACTACTACTACTACTACTATTGCTACTGCTAAAACGACCATTGGTCATGTGACCCTGAACGATGCGCGCGCATCTCATTTGATAAGCGTTGCTCTACCTGGATTGAAATGAATGGATGCTACGATGCCAACAAATCACTGGCATTTGCACGAACTGTCTGAACGATACAGCCCAACTTGTTGAACAATGCATACATTTAATAAAGGAGAGAACAATGATGTGCTGATAAGTGAACAGAACAGTCGTTACTGGCTATAAAAACTTAAATATAATGAACATGATACTCGTCAGTATAGCTGTGAACAGGATATGTATCTGTATAGATGTGAACAGGATATGCATTTGTATAACCGTGAACAGGATACAGATCAGTATATTGTGAATTCTTCAAAATAGTGAACATAACGTTGAGTTGTTGAAACTGTGAACAGTGTTAATAGTTGATTGGTACAATGTGCTCGAGTGTGAAGGGGTCGTTTGTGATGTATTGTTAGCTACATACTACAGTGCATAGTTTAGCCTACGGTTATGATTTAATAGGATATATGTCTGGATGAGAACTAAATGTTAACTGGGTTAAGAAAATAATGAGCAAATCGGAATATTCTGTCTGTAGCGTCAGGTGAGAATTTGAAGGACTGTAATGTAGAGGAGGGTTTAATATTTCAGAATAAATATACAGTGAAGAGGGCAGTGGTTTATGTGTCTAGGAAAGGTGCCAAGGTGTGAAGTTTAATTATGCGTCAAGTGCTTATGAGAATTTTGAGAAATGATCTTGGTGATTCGGAAAGAGAAGTTATCAGTCGGCCAATCCCCCAATGCAAGTGAAGGTGCATGTTAAGACCTGCGTCAGAGTGGGGCGAGTTGCGTCACAGTTAGAGCAACCAGGTTTGCCATCTAAGTGCAGACGGCGCCGTAGTCGATCACTGCAGTTAAGTGCATCAGTGCGCTAGCGAGAGAGAATGCAAGGAGAGTTAGTTGTAGAGACATTGCGAATGAGACAGTGACTGATTACCAGGTAAATGTGCCTTTATATCTATCAAATGGTATTCTCGGGTTCAGGCCTTATAAGGACTATCCTCATTCATTGGTAGGCCTATGTCTGAATTGTAAGTCTTGTATCTTTAGGGTGCTGTTAATAGTTTTGTGCAAGTGTGCGTGTGCTCGCGTTAACTTGAACCAGAGGAATTTATAACGTGGACCAAACGGACGGAGCGAGTGTAGTATTGGCTGATAAAATGGCCCTACGTGTTGCCAGTCTTGGAAAGTGACGTGGGAGGCGGGGGGAGGAAACTGTGGGTGTTGGTGTTGGCAAGTAAAGCAAGAGTGTAGCTGGGGTGTGAGGAGGTAGTCTGGGTGTAGTGTTTGGCTGACGAAGGAACAGAGTGGATGCGATTCTTGGCTCATGCAGGGACAGTGTGGGAGTAAGTGTTTCGTAGTGAAGGAACAGAGTATATGATGACAGCGTGGTTGTGGTCGAGGCCGCAAGCTGGGAACTATAGTAGAGTGCACAAGAACAGCATGGTGCATGGGTCAGTGTTGAGCAGTGAGCATAGTATTAGTGCGCTGGGTGTATGCAACTTTTGACCGGTGTGGGTGCCAGTGATGAAGGGAAGGCAGAGTGTGAGATGAGGAAAGAGAGAGTGAAGGATATCCTGAGTGGGTGAGAGCGTGTTCATCAACCACCCTGCCACTTACACCCAGGAAAACTTGTCGTCGGTCTGGTTAAATTATGTATATACTCGCCTCTTGATTCCCCTTTTCAATAATATCGTGATGTATTATCCTTAGTACTGTAAGTGCAGTTGTCATTGAGAATGATTAAATATTAATTGCTAGAACATGAGAATATTTGCGATCAATCTTTAGTGAATCAAATCTACCTTGAGTACCAGAATTGCGGATATATATTTATTGAATAACAGTGGTATTGATATTTTGCAGGGTGTGTGAACGTCATAAAATTGTCATTGTTATGGTAACTACCGTTTAATATTTGTTTATTCAAGCATGAGAAGGTAGTGTTCCAGGGAAAACTGGTAGGGTAAGGCTTAACGGGAGCTATGGGTGGGGAAATATGTAAGCCTGCTAACAAATCAAAAGCCTACTATACTCACCTGTGTAAATAAATAAGAGGTTCACTGCAGTAAGCCTTCTGGTGCATACATGGAAGATGCTATTTACACTCGACTGTTTTCACTTGTGTATATCTATCATATTTGAAAGTTACAAATTTAGTATTATTAAAGTTGCTTGGATTTGATTTCCTCTGCCACGTGACAATTAGTAGTTTCAAGCCTCAGGAATATGTTTTTCTGTCGCTCATTTTGTCTTGCGAATTCATCCAGGATTTTTAAACCATGATCCTACCATGTTCATTTTCTTGGGCAATGTGTTTTTGTTGATATAATTGTATTTATCTCGACAGAAGTGAAAATATAATGTGTTACTTTAAAGACTGGAGTTCATATTATTTCCAATGAAAGTAATCTGACGTACCAATGGTACGCATGTAGATTTCGGCGTAGCTTCGTGACAAACATTATAAAATGACCTTTGTTGATGAAGCTGAAGAGTTACCGTTATCATCTAAGGACGGTATTACGTGAATAATGATACGGATTTATTAACAAGTTGACTGTGGAATATGGCAACATCACTGTGTTAGCAAATATTTAGTACACGTGTGACGAAACTGAAGTGAAACCAGTGACAAGTCAGGTAATTGTGATATGATACAGCAGTGATGCAGAAACGTCGGCGGGTCAGTGATAGCGTGCTGGGTGGGGTGCTACCTGCTCTGGGCCTCAGGAAGCAGTCTAGTCTCTTGAGCACCAGAGGTGAGCACCTTGCCTCTGCCTCCACCCTCACCTCGCCGCTTCCTTGGGCCGTCATCAACTTCGACATTTTTTGGGTGTTGTTGAGTCCCAATAGTCAATGTGGCGAGCGCCTAGCCAAGACCTGTGGGGTACGTCCTGGAGGCTGTGGATCACATAATCACCGACAGGGGTCATTGTTAGGCGGTCCTCACGTCTGTCCTGAAGCCCACACCTGCCAGGCTCTGCCCCCCGGTGGATCTCACGCCTGCCAAGCTCTGCCTCCCGGTGGATCCCACACCTGCCAGGCTCTGCCCCCCGGTGGATCCCACACCTGCCAGGCTCTGCCCCCCGGTGGATCCCACACCTGCCAGGCTCTGCCCCCCGGTGGATCCCACACCTGCCAGGCTCTGCCCCCCGGTGGATCCCACACCTGCCAGGCTCTGCCCCCCGGTGGATCCCACACCTGCCAGGCTCTGCCCCCCGGTGGATCCCACACCTGCCAGGCTCTGCCCCCCGGTGGATCCCACACCTGCCAGGCTCTGCCCCCCGGTGGATCCCACACCTGCCAGGCTCTGCCCCCCGGTGGATCCCACACCTGCCAGGCTCTGCCCCCGGTGGATCCCACACCTGCCAGGCTCTGCCTCCCGGTGGATCCCACACCTGCCAGGCTCTGCCCCCCGGTGGATCCCACACCTACCACTGCTCCCCAGCTAGTGCTGGCTGGAGCCTTAGCACAGCAGACTCGTCCCCCGCCCTGTCCGCCGGCCAGCAGGAAGATCCCACCACTCGCCGAAAATTTGGAGTATTACACAGTAGGTGTGATGCCTCTGCCTCGCCCACACCGTCTACCGGGGAGTGTGGGGATGATAAAGTGAGCCAGAACAATGTGGGGAATGACTTGTGGCCGGTGCAGGGCTCCTGTTGCTGCTGCTGCTGCTGCTGTTCTACCATGTGTCAGGTTCAGGCTATCAAGGAGGTACGTGTATAAGTCGACTCAAAAGGCCACGTTACAATACCACAAAAAGTCGTGTTGTAAAGCTTCATATCACCTCTCTGAGCAGTCAAATACAAATTAAAATTGTATATTTTTATGATTCTTATCCTCAAGAAATTGAGTACCTTGTGGTGCTCTTTTTACATCATTATTTTTTTTTCAGCCCTTGGTTGTCAGTAGTTCTAAATTGAAAATATGCTACTGTACAAATCGTCTGCAAACCTTAAGTAATGTGCAAAATAATTAGTTTTTGGAGACAATGGTCAAGGCCAAGCGTTGATTGGTTTTTTGTCGATTTTCACAATCGGGTTTGGAAGTAATAAAAAGAAAATAGTTAGCTAACTGTTGGTGCGCACTTGTCACGTTGATCTCAGGTTTTTTGTTATACAATAAAACAAAACAAAAAATCGGTGATATGCAAAGCAAACGAGTAAATTTTCTGGAGAAAGTGCTAAATCAGTATTATGGTACAGGTATAACTCAAATTTGCAAGTCAATCAAATTTATTTAAATGACATTAAATATGCAAGCAGGCATAGGTTTATCCACAGTATATCTAGCGATGTTTGGGACAAAGGAACAGTTCATGTGCTAAATCCCTTTATGCAGATTATTTATAAAATAATGGGTGAATGGAAAGTAATTAAGAGGGAAATCATTAGTTGGCAACCGTTAGTGCGTTTCTCACTGGGTGTTGACATGTACTGTATAAACAGATATACAGTAGATAGATAGATTGTGTAGATGTATATATTTGATATAGATATGCTAGGAGGTACCCAATTGTGCCTGGGTTTCTGCCCTCCCCCACCCCTCTCCACTTTTGTCCCCTCGCATACTTCTTGTGCAATCTCCCTCCTCTCTTCAGATATCCCCCCCCCCCCTTCTTCATCTCCCTATCTCTGTCTTTGTGTGTGTTGTGTTTGTCTCTGTTTATATGTCTATCATTGTCTTTTTGCTGTTTTATCAAAATAATATAATAGTCTACCATTGGCATGTGGGTGGTCTGCCAGTGAGAAGAGCTTAGCAGTGTAAAATATTTAAAATTTGATTAGTTTTTTGTTTGCTTTAAGTAAAGGGTGTTTGCTGTAAGTAAAGGGCAAGGCATGAGAGCCTTTGAAGCTGTGGGAGTATCAAAATTTAAACTACAGTAGGTGTAGCAAGGGAAGGGGGTGGCAGTGCAGTGCCAAAAATCATTGTGGGGATCAGGATATGACCCTGGCATGCTCTTCCCTCTTGAATTCTGGCAACTTCAACCAGCTTAAGTCTGTCCTGTCCCTCCAGACTATTGCACCTGCAAAGTTGGTTGAGGCCCAGCCACAAGTGCCTGGGCCCCCTAACCCTGGACATACACAAATGGGCAGGCAAACTGACATTATCTCCAATTGATCGATTGATCTATCTATATAATATTGACATATAGATATAGATATTAGGTATAGATATATAATATATAAAATATTTATTGTATATATAAATACTATATTTTTATATAAAATTCTATATACATTTTTTATAACATAGGTACATTGCATTATGCATCACCACCTTCTCCATGATGGTTACATAGTTTGTCAAGAGTTTTGATACTGTAAAGAGAAGACTGCTATGTATAAAGGAGAATGATCAATTTGAACATTGATTATTGGAGCATTCTTTAATCTTAGTGCTATTTATAGGTAATTAGCTAATATTTGCCAACACTGGGATGTGTAGTGCAAACCCTTTATTTTAAGAGGTAACTGCCAATAAGATTGGTACATACGGTGTAGGATTGGGGGGGTCTCATGCCACAATCCATCATCACAAAATGTAATCATCATAATATTGCTCCTTGAGGTCTTCCTAAAATATAGGTCGTTTTTATACAGTATGTCGTCACAAAATCACTTGGTGTTTAATGCATGTGTGTTTATTTAATGTTCTATAAGTATTTTTCACTATTACAGTATTTCTTTAGCTTTATACCTATTACTTTTTATATTGTTGCATAAAATAATAATAAAGTTCACTATTCTATGCTAAACAAAATTAAGTATTCTTATTGTGCAGTATTGGAAATAACTTTCATAATCAGACTAGGAATTATTCACATGATTAATGTGAGAGGAACTGAGCATTAGAGAAGCATATCAATGAAATTTCGGAATCATTACTACCTGAATTAAATGAATCGGTTACAAAACTACAAAACAAACTGGATCAGGATGGAGAACTATCAATAGCTCATAGAAATAATTCACATAGTGGAAAGTCCTCTACAATTGCAGACATACAAAGCTTAAAGTTAAAATTGGGAAGCAAAGCTCTGTTAATAAATTTCCTTTTAAATGGATTAAATGCAATATTTGGAGCATTCATTGAAACTCATTAGAGACTATATGGACAGTGATATCTAGGTACCAAACATGAAAATTACCTTGATAGATGATGCTTAAACTTTACAAACTGGTATCAATAAAGTCTTTCACTGGGCAACAGAAAATAACATGCCTTCAACAAAGATAAATTCCAGTTACATAGATATGAAAGAAATGAACATGATAGGATACGAAACACAGATCTCAAAAATAAAATGACACGAGAATGATCTTGGACTGATGATGGACAATCTAATGTTTAGTGAGTATATCCAAGCAAGTGTAGTATTAGCCATGAAAATGATAGGATGGATTATGAGAACATTCAAATCAAGGGATGCTACCATAATACTGTACTCCTGTTTTTCCAGCTTAAGTACTGTACTGTTCAGTACCTGACACTCTCCCTTTCAAAGCATCAGAGATTTTTGAAATAGAAAGAATAGAGAAAATTTATGATACACAAACATTAAAGCACCTAAATAACTGTAACCATCTCAAAGCACTCAATGTTTTCTCTGGAAAGACAGACAGACATATCAGATATGCATAATAAAATGACTTACTGAAGTGAAAGATTTGGTAGGAAATGCAGAAAAGACCCAATGAAGAATAGGGGCCTTTGATAAAATCAGAGAATATTGTATGAACTTTTGAAGCCCACAACTCAACATCCTCTCACCAAATATTAGAAGTGTTTTTGCAACACGAGGTTTTAATGCAAATTTTACTGCATAAAGTTCTAGATCACCTATGTTGTAATGGGTGTGTGGGCCTGCAGCCCATACCAAGCACCAATCTTTCTATTATCAGAAAGACAAACCTGGTCCCAAGCTTGGCACGGGAAGTTGAAGAACTCTAAAAAACAGACTACAGTACCAATGATATGGGGTAAAGGACCCATACAAATAACTTTTTTTTTAAATGTTTTCAAGTACTGTGCTAAATTTTAAGACTAATGCTGAACTGGAACTGAGGTAAGGATGTATGAGCTCTACACAAAATTGGTGGGACATGCTAATGGTTGGTGATAACTTGCAGGAGGCGCGGCAGCTGCGTGCAGGCGAGGTGGCCCACCGTGAGGGCTCACAGGTGAAGGGCGCCACCATGAGGGTGGCGGGTGAAGGGTTCTCTGCTCACAAGTCGGCCATCAGTGAGCAGCAGCAACGCCATACAAAAACTCCGGCAGGCACCATCAACCAGGAGTCATCCCGACAGGCAGCAAAGTCAGGCCTCATCATAAAGACAAAAGGAGTGTGTACCAAGCAGTCTTCCTCCATGACTGCATCACAGGTAACAAACCCTATCTTCTACTTAAGTTACAGTAAATACAGTATGTGTAATAATTTCCTTATCTAATAGATTTTTATTCAGTACAAGTTTTTATCTGTAAAATTTACTGATAGACTATAAATATTTATATCTTCTGTACTGTATTTCACTTTATTATTACAGTTCTGTATTACCAAAGCTTTGATTATACAGTCCAGTACTACAATACTATTGTATGTATGTATATGAGTTGGTATAAAATTAATTGGTACCTAAAATTTTCATTTGACCTTTTATTCTTACAGAGCAATGTGCACATCACTGGCTTCGAGGATTTAGACAACCTTAGTGCTTCATCTCAACCAGTAGACATTCAGAATGCTATTATGCGTTATTCTGGTGTGATGTCATCTTTCGTTGATCAGCTAAAATCTTTAACAGTCAACGAATGTCTTAAAGATGCTCCCTCTCTCCTTGAAAATATTGATGACATGATGAGAAAAGCCTGGTCGGTGCCCATTTATGGCCATGAACTGGGATTTTCCTTGTGTAATGTTTTGAGAAATAATGGTGGTATGGACATTCTGCTTGACAACTGTAGGTCTGATGACTCTAATGTTAAGTTTTCGAGTGCCAAAGTGTTAGAACAATGCCTTACAACAGAAAATAGAGGATATGTAGTTGAGAAGGGCCTAGAAAATGTAGTAAATGTTGCTTGTGATTGCACAAAGAATGGCACTTCAGTGGACAAATCTCGTGTGGGAACAGGCATACTAGAGCATCTATTTAAGCATAGTGAAGGAACATGCTCAGATATTATACAGTTAGGTGGTCTAGATGCTGTGCTATCAGAATGTAGAAAATCTGATGTTGAAACTTTGAGACATTGTGCTGGAGCTTTAGCAAACTTGTCTCTCTATGGTGGATCAGATAACCAGCAGGCAATGATACAGCGTAAAGTTCCCATGTGGCTCTTCCCTCTTGCTTTTCACTCCGATGACAACATAAAATATTATGCCTGTCTGGCAATTGCCACTCTAGTTGCTAACAAGGAATTAGAAGCAGCTGTTTTACAATCTGGAACTCTTAATCTTGTAGAACCATTTGTCCTAAACCAAATTCCAGATCAGTTTGCCAATTCTACAGTAGCACACCGACATGGGCAAAGTCAGAGTTGGTTACAAAGACTTCTGCCAGTACTGAGGAGTAAAAGAGAAGAAGCCCGAAATTTGGCAGCATTTCACTTCTGCATGGAAGCAGGTATTAAAAAACAACAAGGAAACATTGAGCTCTTCAGGGAAATTGGTGCTGTTGAGCCCCTTAAAGAAGTTGCTAGTTCTCCTAATGCCATTGCCAGCAAATATGCAGTACAGGCACTTCGTCTTATTGGAGAAGAGGTCCCACATAAATTAAGCCAACAAGTGCCATTGTGGACACCTGAAGATGTAAAAGAATGGGTCAAGCAAATTGGATTTTCACAGCATGGTGAGGACTTCGTTAGTTCCAGAGTAGATGGAGATCTCCTTTTACAGCTCACAGAAGAAAACCTTCGTGAGGATATAGGTATAAAAAATGGTATTCTGAGACAACGATTTTTGAGAGAACTAAGAAAACTGAAACTCCTTGCTGATTATTCATCTTGTGATTCCACCAGACTTAATGAGTTTATGGTAGAAATTGATAAAGAATTTGCTGAGTACACCTACCGCATGTTGAGAGCAGGAGTCACTCGAGATTGTCTTAGGTGAGGACAATGTATGGTATATTGTTATATAATTAACTTACAACATCCCACTACTAGTCATTCGTATACATACAACAAATTGCATAAATATGAATTATATACAAATAATATGTTAATAACTTGTTACTTTTATAAAAATTTGGCAAATATGCAATAGTCACAATGAAATATAATGGATTATAACTGGATTTGTTTTTTCCTCAGGTATCTCTCTGAAGAGCAGCTAATAACGGAGTGTGGCATCTACAACTCAATTCATCGACAAAGAATTAGAGATACAATATTAAGTGAGTTAAACTTCTGAATGTTCTAATACTTGTAGTCAATAAATTTTTCCTGTTTGAAATTGTGACATGACTAAATTTAGGATAAAATATTTTCATTAGAGTGAGGACCTAAAGTTAGCAGTTAAAGCTTTTGTACCGTGTTAAATGAAACATCGTACAAATTCATCTCTTAATAACTTTGTACATTTTTTGCTGTAAATGTTAGATTATAATTTTTATTATTGCATGCAACAACAAAGGGAATGACAAGCTAAAGTCTTGTAAGTAATAATTCCTTTTTAATAATATTGTACAAAACCATTACATTTGCACTTTGCTTTATAAAGATTTAATCTGTAATACATAAGACATTTTAACGTTAAAATGTGAATTTATGCTTGGACAAATATTCAATACTAGATAGGCTGTATTCACACTGTTTAAGATTAGAGGACGTCATGTACTTAAAATGAGTTCATAATTTGAAAAGATAAACATTTCTGAATGCATACATTTGATATTAGAAAAACTAATTAAGCAACTTACAGCCTAGTTAGAATACATTATACAGATATATGCTTTGCTTGAAAGTTAATACTTTCCACTTTGTAAGTAACTACAAATTATAGCACTAAAAATAAAACCTACAAAATTTGCAAATACAAAAATAATTGGTTTTAAACATATGCCTAGAATTATGATAGTGAAAATATTTCTATACTGTATAAATAAGTACGTGTTATATAGATATGAACACTTGACTTTTAATTAAATGCATAAGCGTTGCAAAGAAATTGTAAATTTAAATATATTACAGATGACAGTGGCCAGCTCCAGGATGCCAATTCTCTTGATAAAACCCTGGATGTTTTTATCAGCTATAGACGTTCCAATGGCTCGCAGTTAGCAAGGTAAATATGTATAAATGTGGATAGTTTTATGAAGTTGCTTTAATCATTTGAATTTTAAAATTAAAGAAATTACCTAGATTTTAATGACAATTTTGTTCCTCTTTCAGTTTACTAAAGGTCCACATGCAGCTAAAAGAGTTCTCCGTATTCATTGATGTGGAACGATTAGAGGCTGGAAAATTTGATAACAATTTACTAAATTCAATTCGACAAGCAAAGAACTTCCTATTGGTTCTGACACCAAATGCGCTGGATAGGTGCATTGGTGATACAGAATGCAAAGATTGGGTTCACAGGGTATGTATTCAGTGTGTATTGTTTGTTATACAGTATTATGCTCTTAACAAATATAGATTTAGAATATGAAAGATTTATTTAATTCAAACAACTTTCCTGTTACTGTATGCATATTGTACAAAGGTTTTCTTGAATGTAGCTTGTACTGACTCAAAATATTACTGGCCAGCATTTTATAAATATTAAATAGCTATATATATAATGGCTCGTATGCAGGTAATTGGTACAGTTGACTTCATGACCCGACTCTCAATCTGGGATCCCGGGTGTGATATCCATATTATCTTGTGCTTTGTAAATAAAATATGTTTTTACATGTATTCATAATGTGTGCTTTGTTATGCAGTTTATAATTCTGTACACTTGAAATTGAAATAAGTTTATTGAAGTATAAATACACATAAAGGGATGAGGTTACTGAAGTTATTCTCACCCTGTTCAGGACAACATGTTCAGATAAATAATTTATATATATAATGTCACTCTTCTTAATTTCAAAATTGTCTTGTTATTGCTCAGCCATCTGCAATCATTTTACTATATAAAGAATATTTTTTTCGTAAATTAATGTTTTTGAATTTTCCATTGCAGGAAATTGTGGCAGCTCTGCAGTCTGGATGTAACATTATCCCTATCATTGATAATTTCCAATGGCCTGATCCTGAGGAACTACCAGAAGATATGCGAGCAGTTTGTTATTTCAATGGCGTAAGGTGTGTGATAGTTTTACTTTTTATATAAACTGAAGACACTGAAATAAGTTTAAGGCTATCATGCTCAAGTTACTCATATTATTAAAGCTCAATTTAAGGATATTTAGCAAGCTTGGTACCTTCTTTTGAGAAAAATTGAACATGCTTAAGTAATGATCTTTTGGGCTAATAATTTATTTCCTCTTTTAGATGGATTCATGATTATCAGGATGCGTGTGTAGATAAAATGGAAAGGTTCATGCGTGGAGAATGTAATGTTCGTGGGGATGGCCCTCTTGGACGCTATGTTAGCAGAAGCGTAGAAGGTGGCATGGCTACCCCTGGTACACCTTCCACACTGCCTAGAGCACCACCACTGTATCAGCGCACAACTAGTACCGAGAGTGGTAAAGGATCATCATGTTCAGACAAGGACCCTAAAGACTGACGGGGCGACCCTGCATTGGTTAAACATAGAAGGTATGATCATTTGTTATGTCCATTGTAGTGCACCCTATCATCCCACATTGTTTTAAACTTAATAAAAAAAAATTAAGCTGCTATAATGGAAAGAAATGATAAATCAAACGGAAGAAATCAGTGATGTTAAAAGAATAAGAGATACTGGAAGTGTCTGTTGAAAATCACCATGGGCATTAAAATATTAAGAAGATTTAATAGTATACAGTATATAAATTCCCATCCACACTTCCGTGGAAATAAACATTTCATTCACCTGTTTGGTTTGAGATACATACAGTCCCGGTGAATGAAATTAATAGCATATACTTCTAAGAAGAAATCCTAAATGGCATAAGGCATCACAGATTTAAATTTATATTAATTTTAAATGTATACAATTATTTGAGGGAATAATTTTTGCTAAAATTGATAGTCCTATATGAACAGTTCTTAAGAATACAGGTTACATTTTATTTTACAGATTATTAGCCACAAGTAGCCCACGATCTGCTTCACCTATGAGGTGGGGTGGTAGAGCAGTCAGCCCAGTACCACGTCTCCCAGTGAGAGGTGCAGCTGGTCGGGGATTTGGAGCAGTTTCACCTTTACTACCACGTCCACATCGTCGCACGCTTCCTCCTTCACGCTCATTAAGTCTTGATACAGGTTTAGATACTAATAATGCCACTGCAACTGATCCTGAAACTGCCACTGATGTGGTATCCTCATGTGAACAGTATCTGCAGCAACAGCATCAACAACAGTCTGGACAACAGTTGCAGGAGCAGGAGCAGCAGCAACAGCAAACTCAAGGTACTGAGCCTAGGCTTTCACGACGTAGATTGAGTAGTATACCTTGCGAGAGTAGTCCAATTGCTGAAGAATGTGGAACTGAGGAAGAACTGGGCCAACCATCATCCAACGAGGATGTTAGAGGTAGTAGAGACTTAACACTTCCTTTAGAGTCCTCCCGGTCCTCCATCACATCTTCAAGACGTTCTTCTGTTACTTCTGCTGATGATATCAGTCGAAAATCCTCATTCGTTAATAAGTGTATGACACGAGTTAGAGGCTTAATCAAGAAATGAAGTGTTCTTGGACATTCTGATTTCAGACTGTGGATTGTGCCTGTGGTAAAAGCTCTGTGGTGCTTGTGGTAAAAGTGCTGTGAGGTCAATGTCGACATGCCTCACATTGCGAGAGGACATAGTATAACCAGTGCAGGGAGTTGAGATCCTCTGTGCCAGGTGTTGGGACCATTAGGGCCTGAGAACTTTAAGGTCACCCACTTGGCTCAGGTTATGTTCAGGTTATTTACCATTGTGATCCCAACTACTATAATGCCAAACCCATTAAACATTATGACAATGAAAATATGGACATATTTGACAAAAGAAACAAAAATACTAATAGCTAAATCCTGTGACTTGCAGTGTAGTTGCCTTCAAAATTAATCCTGCCATATTTGTTTTAAGTAGCAGCCAATGATCTACTCGGCAACAAAATTGCAATTTATTAAATACAAATGTAATGCATTTACTCTTCCTAGTTTTCTCACGTTTTCACATAAGTTTCATGTCAATTTAAGTAATTAATATCTATTAAAACTTCTAAAATGTTATATTGTGTAGCATTTAATGGCAACTTTGGCATTTTGTAATATGAACTCTTAATGCCATAAAGTATTTGGTATAAAGAATTATATTGTCAAGGATAATTTTAATATAAATTGTATATATATATAAATATGATATTTATTAATAACATTTTGAACATTTTGAGGTTTTAAGAATCTTTTTGTATTAAATTTGTAAATTTTAGTGCATTTTAAATATTGGTAGGTCACAGAATCAACATCCTTAAACAACTCATTTTCTGAAAATATTAAGGATTTTTATGATGTACAATATTGTAACATAATATAGATATATTGAACATTTGTAACCATACTAATGTTCAGTTCTTTAGTCATTTTGTCCAGTAGATCTTGTAAAACTTTTATAGTGAAAAAATCATAGAGATTTTTATTCCACATTGAAGAGTTCCAAAGAATAACCTCTTCATTTACAGAAACAAATTATTGTTTATCCACTGTAAATGTCTTAGTCATGGTGTTATTTTTAGGTTTTATCGGTGTTAGGATTTCATTTACAGTGAATCCTTTTACTTGTATTTCCGAGCCGGTGATCATTTGTCATTGTAAATAGAAAGTTGGCAACTAACGTGTAAGTTTGAGATTTATTATTTTTACACGCAGTACCCTGGAGCTTAAATAAATACTATTTAAGTAATGTATTCTATGTATTATAATCCAATACACTCGACACAGCCAGGGTTGAGTAATGACAACCCACATATCTGAGGAATTCCAACACGCACCTAATGTACAGCTATATGAAAAGGTGACCAAACCACACACCAGAAGATGGTGATGACATTTCAGTCTGACTGGACCATTATCAAGTTATCACAATTAACTTGATAATGGTCCAAGATGGACTGAAACAACATTTCTTCATCCTCTCGTGTGTGGTTTGGTCATCATATCTTCAGCACTGTTATTGTGACTCATCATCTGCTATATAAAATATTGCCATTTGTCGTCTTCAGCAATAATAATAATAATAATAATAATAATAAAAAGGTTTGTGCAACCTGTCCTCAGACTAGGTCCATTCCATCCAGCTGTCGACCCCCCAAAAATGCATTCATCGGTTTTAATATGCTGTTCATTCAAAATAGAGATTTTCTCAAATTAATATAGTTATGTATTTAGGCATTGTAAAGTTAGGTTTTTAGGTTGTGTTGGCAATTATTTGTAAGTGGGGGAAGCATTTACAGCAGTGTTATTTGACTAAAAGTTATCAGCGAAGCACTTGTTTGAGAAGTGCTCGAATGTCATCAGTTGTCTTGTGTAACCCGATTTTCATTCATAAACTGTTTGATGGGTGTATGGAATGGACTTCATCCTTTGTTTGAGGACGGGCTGTATTGTGATATAGGTCCCTTAAAAGTTCATGGATTCATTTGATTTGCACGAAACTTTAGAAAGGCTATCAAGAAGAAGATGAAGACAAAAAGGACAGAGGCAACAGGGATGAAAATTAGCGAGATTTTATTAATAAGCTCATGAAGCTGGAGGCTTCTTTCAGTCGTTGGAGACTTGTACATGGTCTTTGTTTTAGTTTTCTGTTTGCTATTAACCTTATGATTAATATCTGCTGCTGGACCAACCTGGACCATTTTGTGTGTTGGTGAAGCATAATATTCTTGCTTAGCAAGGTATTTTAAACGAAAATTTTCAATGGCAACGAGGACAAGGATGATTATGAAGTCTATAGAGATCAGGCAGATGTACCACACATCTATGTGCTTGAGGTAAGCTGTCTTGGGGATGAATTGACTTGTTTGGCTGAACAAAGACGCCAGCACCAGTAGTGATGTCAGCGATACCATGATGCGGTCCTGATTGCAAAAAAATTTTAGAAAACTAGTGCACGTATCCTATTTATCTAAATCACAAATACTGTAATCTTTCTAGATAATGGGGAGACTGTAGGGGCAGGATGGACTAACCTGAAAATCGTGTAGATCGAAGAACAAAGCAAGGTAGCAGATAACCACCATTAGCAAACTGGGTACCACAGCATTTCCTATGTAGTATCCATACTGGTTTCGAAATTCTAGTATCATCTGGAACAGTTGAAATATACAGTACAGTACATGCACTATGTATATGTTTTTAAATGTAATAACATTTATTAAATTATAAACCAGCAGATAACACACAAGCTATATTGTTAGATGTGTAAGTTAGTCTCGTCATAATTTATCAGAACAAAATATCATTGACTGCAGAACTGTACAGTAATTACAAGATTAAATCCCAGTTGTACTTTATTAAGACAGACATTAAAGTAGCAATTATATGAAATAAACAAGGTGGAAGGAGTATTGGTAAGCCAGCTTCCACCAGCCCTACCTGGACATCACCTGGGAGGTCACTGGGCCCACGCATTTCCTCTCCAACGCACTTGTACTCCATGAGGCGCCTTTCCCCAGTATAGTTCACTCCACCCTGTAGACAGCGAGACCATCAGTATCACCACCTTTTGCATGTCTGATTTTAATGCAATCTTGCTCCTTAAGTGTTCTTGCTTTTGGAATAATTTTGATATCCTTTACAGACTTTAGTCAATCCTGGGAGTTGGAGAACTCCCAGAACCCCCTCCAGGTACACGCCAGATAATTATATATGGTTTACATATGTATATAAGTTTAATATTGGTGAAGGATATACATGCTAAATGTAATTCACCATATTTAATCTACTTTCACAAGTAAATAGATTAATGGCAATTAGGCTTGGCATACCTATTATATTCTTCCTTACACTAAAAATTTAACACTCCAAGAAGTCTCTACTGACAAAAATTATCCTTCCACTAAGGCCCTCCACCCAGAAAATAGTTTGAACTTTTCCTACATCTAATATAGTTGTTGAGTGCTCATTACAGACCAGCATTTATCATTTGTTACTGCAGTATCACAAGATTGAACTGTGCCTGGCACAAGCCCACATTCCTCACTGAGCTGTTCACAGTGCATCTTAAGGTAACTTGTTTACACAGGATGACAGTCCCCCCAAGCTTGTCCTTATCACATGTGGGGCTGGACTATGATAAAGTACACATCAAGACTGCACTACTAATCTTACCATAGTACTTTGATTTAATAACCATTAGCACAGTACTGGAAAGTATCTTTTGGATCCACTGCCAACAGTATCACCTGGTGTAATCAGTATCATTGTTTATGACAGTCTTACAATCATTACTATTGTATAACCTAAAATGTTCCACAAATTTAATACTCGTGGTTCTGGTATTTTAGGTACCCAGAAACTGTCAGCCACACTCAAAATGCAATTGGCAATTCATAAAATATCAAGGACAACTTATTCCAATGTGGCTATAACCCCCCCCCCCCACACCCCTGCCAAATTAAAACTCGGCTTACCTTGACAAAGAGAAATCTGTCCTGTATGTTGGTAAGGGTGTAGGAGAGGAGACAGTGCTGGATGTCAAAGGGGTACATGTGTAGGCTGAACTGACACATGAAGCTGACTGTGTACTGCTGCTCCAAGCGAATACTCTGCTCCCCACCTGCGTACAACTTGTCTACGGAAATATCGCAGGCATTGTAATTGTGTACAAGTTTGCAATATAAATTTTGTTGACAAATCTTGCACAGGAAACATTGCCTCTGATTACTGCCCTCATTTTTCTATCAATCAGAAAATTTTTCATCCATGTTAGAAGTTTACCTGTCACCCCTCCAATATTTTCCAGTTTCCAGAACAACCTCTTATGTGGAACTCTGTCGAAAGCCTTTTTTAGGTCCAAATAGATGCAGTCAACCCAATCATCTCTTTCCTGTACACAACAGGCAAAATATCTTGTGTATTGTGTGTGTGTAACAATTATACACGAGGAAATTTTCCTTGAAACGGAGAAAAAACTTTGGGTTTGATATTAAACCAAGTCTACCACCAGAAACCACAAAGAGAATATATTCAGTTACATATGGAAGATTGAAATTGCCATAGAAAATGGCAGTTCCAAAATATACAAGATCTTGAAAGACTTGTATCAACATGCATATCAGAGCAATTGTGGAATGTGTGGCACCAGTGTGGACCCACATCTTGTTAAATACAAAACGAAGCTGGAGTTCATCCTTCACATACGGCGAACTACGGCAAAGTTCAGAGGGACTGGATGCCACCAGACTAGTTCCCAGAGCCGAGAGGTATGAACTAAAAAGAAAGACTAAACCCCAAATCACTGGAAGAGAAAAGCAACAAGACATGATTACCACATACAAAATACTCAGTGGAAAAAGGTTAGACAAACTATTTAGCACAAGTAGTACATAAACAAGAAGACCCCAAATGAGCCACAAACACTATTATAAAAAAAAAGTTGTGTCCTAGAATAATGAACAAATGGAATATGCTAATAAATGGAAGAGGCAAACACTCTGCACAACTTTTAATGTAGATATGACAGATCCCAATAGTCTCTGGAATCTATACACTATGACATGATAACCACCTACATAGTTCTAAGGGAATTGACAGGGTGGACAAAACTATTTAGCATGGATGGAACACGAACAAGGGAACGCATGTAGAAAATTGGTACACAAATGAGCCACAAAGACTGTACAATTATTGACACTGAAAAAAAAAATTTAACAAATGGAATGCACTAGGCAGAAATGTGGTGGAGGCAGACTCCATACACAGTTTCAAATGTAGATTGATAGAACCCAAGAGGCTCCTGAATCTACACCAGTTGACTGACAGTTGAGAGGCAGGACCAAAGAGCCAAAGCTCAACCCCTGCAAGCACAACTTGGCGAGTACAGCTAGGGAGAGTACCAATCTTACTGTATTATGGGATGAAAAGCAGGACCCAAGAGCCACGATTCATAACCCTGCAAATACAACTAGGTAAATTAGCTGAATTGACACGGTATCAAAATATAGCCCATACATTGCCCTTTTGTACAATATGTATCACAATCACAGTCCTGTTGGTCTTGGTAGTAAGTAATTATGCATCAGGTCATTGTCTACCTCTGTTTAGTTATGGTTTGATGACAAACAATAGACAGTTAACAATTATTATAATGTCAAAGATTGCCCTCTTCAGCAGAGCAACATAAGAATTATTAATTTTATTAATTAAAAAAATGGATATGTATAACTAACATACGTATCTTTGGCAAATGATTAAAAGATAATTGTTAAGTTAGTTATATAATTTATATAAATTTTAGCGATTATACAGTTTACAAAGCTGCTCAAATACATATACATATAAACTGAATACCACTCTGTGGATGTCAGAGGCAGATGCTCTACCAACTATACTATAGGTTAGCCTCAATAAGAGAAGGTTCCCAAGGCAACTAACCACTGCCCAGATGGGAATTGACTGTCTCTGTTGCTACTACTAAAACACAAAGATCAGGGATACCACATCCTAAGTCATATAAACATGTTCATAGCTGCACCTTCCCTAGGTCTGGTGTCGTCGTCAGTGATAGGCGAGGATTCCCGATTAATACGAAGAATTTGCCTCCTCATGACGACGTCTGTGGGGCTTCGAGCTGCATCCTTAATCATAATTGTGGGTAGCCAGATTAGGTCAGATACCTGCAGAAGTGTAAATATATTAGAAGGAAATTTATATTATTTTGCTAAATTATTCTATTTGCTTTTAGACAAATTTAAATCTTAGCAATATTTGTCAGATAATGAAGTGGAAGTTAATTTATCATTTACCTGAATTTACCCAGAGATGGCTGGGGAGGGGGAGGCCACATTATCTTTGGTGACAGGAAATTGGTGGCTTGTCAAAGGTCCCCCCCCCCCCACTATTTCTGAGGATCTTTTCCAGTTGAATTGTATAAGCTAGCAAACAGATGTTTCTAATAAGTTCTGAGTGGCTACCCATTCACTGACAGTCTCACTCTGCAAACTTTAACAAGCTCTGTCTTGAGTTATAGGCAGAATTGAATTTGTTATTAAGGAATAAATGAAACCGTTTTTGATGAGAAATTACAGAATCATTTGAGCCCCCTAAGAACAAGTCAGGAGTTTAAATTGCTTCTACACAAATGCCAAAAGCCTAGTAAATAAATGTGACTGTGTGAATACACTATGGTGGGCCAGGGCCCACCATAGGCAGAGCTATGAAGCCCAATGTTCCTTCACAGTCTGACTCAGGGGCCATTGAAGGGTCTGCAGAGTCTTCCCATTGAGCAATAAGGATACCATTCCTGGAATCCCACTTGATCCAATGTTTAACTAGGGGGAGCTAACTGCATGAGCCAATTGTTTCAGAAGGACCACATTGTGCCCTTCATATTACCCCCTATCCTCGCACCAAGGAAATGTTTTGCCCATTCCTTCCAAGGGGCCGCTGGGTAGGTTCAACCAAATAAAAGAACATAAGGGAATGCACAATTCTCCATGCATGGCAAACACATGGGAAGCTATTTTGCTCGCCCACTGTCACAGCAGGATGGAGAATAAAGCTTAATCTGTTTCATTTTTGTTCACTTCTGATTATCCCCCTGTGCCTATAAATTTTTCCTCAACATTTTACTGACCAGACATGCCCTATACTTTTGCAGGATTTCTTGTAGTTTTTCAGTTTTCACTATTCAAAACTTCTGAATCTCTCTCTCCAGAGCTTCTAAAGCTCTTTCCTCAACCGTGTTAGTTACCTAAACCAAGTAGGCAATGATTTGCAAAACATGGTAATTAGATTAATTAATTAAATGAGTGAATGAGTGAGCACTCACTCACTCAAATTTAGTTTCCTTCTGAGATCACAAGTTGCCCAGTCACGATAACACACCATTACCTTGGCCCGGTTGTTGAAGTCTCCTGGTAGAAGGTTGGCGTAGGTGAGCCTGGCGTCATGCCATGTGACGCTTTGCAGGACATCCAGCTGCACAGTGAAGGCAACTAGGTCAAACACCCGCACCGAAGTCACCTCCAGATGCAAGACGAGCTGGAGGGGCTGCTGATGGAGTGTGGGTGGTGGCAGGTCTTGGGAGTAGCCGTGTGGTACCTGCAACACCTCACAGTTGAGCTCGTCGCTGCTGTCGCTACAGTCGGTCACTTGGTCACACCGGCGAGCTATCTTGACACACGAGCCGTCAACGCAGGTAAAGTCCCCCTCACCACATGCAGTTAACAGGTACTCTACCTAGGAAGAATAATTTATTTGCTAATACCACATCTGTAATAAAAGTCATAACCCAATAACAATTTAAATTGTAATATTTTGTTTCCAATACTATTTAATTCATGCATAATTATTTTTCAATGGTGTAACCAAAAAAGTGATAAAATTTTGGTTTTATATACCGCTTTCATCTTCGGTAACTAATAACATCGCCTAATATTACATGTTATTTGTCAGAAATCTAATTTTATACGACAAAGCACTATGTATTGATAAGCAGATAGCAAGGGTGGTCATTACAGTACCTGTCGTCCGCAGCTATCACCCTGGGTCTCCCAGGAGGCCAAGCCTACTGGGTAGCCCTTGGGGCGCTTCTCCACCATTCTGGCTTCCACATCTTCCTCCCGCCGGCTCTCCAGCACCCAAGTGTTGTTACCCCATACTATTCGACTGAAGAAATAGCCTTCGAAAACCGGTCGACCGTTCTGATATCCGTGGAGTGTGTAGGTACGATCAAACTTGGATTCTCTGCAGAGGCCCCGAAGTCTTAGTGTGGGAGGCGTAGTAAAGGTGCATAATGGGCAGGTGAGGGTCTTGCAATCAGCACAGTACCACCGGTATGGAAAGTTTATGGCAGCGCCAGTGGCACATGGGTACTGCTCTGACGGTGTGCTCCAGGCCTCCAACCAGCTGCCCCATTTGAGCGGCGTGTCGTCCTCTATAAGCACCCAAGTCTTCTCGCTGAGGTTGCTTTTCAACCCCAGCCAGTAGAGACTCGCCCACCCTTGTATGCATTGATCATTGAATTTTATAAATTCGTCAAAGACCCACTTGTTTTCCTCAGAGTCTCTGGGAACAGCAAGGCTGCCGGCAAAATTTTTGCAAGAGACGAGCGCTTCACTGAATATCTGTCTCTCTGGTAAAAGTATCAAGTACCTGTCAGTTTTGCGACATAACTCGGAAAGTCTGAGCGTCACCATCTGACTCTCACCGTTTATCTGCAGCAAAGACATGTTCTTACTGAAGCTATAGCGCAGTCCAACACTACTGAGGTCAGCCCGGCAAGTGGTAAAGTTCTCCATGGCATCTAGTGGGAGGTCTATGTCATACAGCCTAAAATCTGCTAGGTAGCCATGGAAGGACTGTGTCAGGTCCCACTCTGCGTTCAGGTTGATATTCTGTCCCAAGACGAAGCGGCCATTGGGTCTCACCCCGGCAGACCCTGGTGCCGTTTCCGATTCTGCTCGCTTGGCTCTCAGTCGGTAAGTCTGCAATAATATATACGACAGTACTAGTGACTCATCATTATTGGCAGCTTAATGAGCTTTTTGTAGCTCATTATACAAATGATGAGTGATCAAAATAAGTTTGTCCCGTTACCTACACAAAAAGTTAAATGTCTTAAATACCTAAATAATGCACAAAACACACAACCCGAACATTATACTGCAAATAGCTATTTTATTTTTATCTAGCTGTCACTTACGCCCTACTTCCTTAACTAATTTTTTTTTTTACCTGGAAAACTAAATTAATTTCCCACGCCCTTTATTTTTACCACCTAGATTTCAGATTGTAGTTTAGCTATCAAAATTATATTCACGATCATTATGAACATCAGCCCCACCAGCAAAAAAAATATATACATATATTTATATATTGGCGATCTCCTATCACTATGATTGTAACCGGCCTGATTTGTGGGGGATAGAGCTTTTTGAGAGAGATTGACACGAGGGCGGATTTTGCCTGGACATTTCACTCCGGTCTGATCAATGAACAAACCATTTTTAACATTAGGTAAAAAAAAATTACACTTGGGACATATTGACATATCGGTTTTTTTTCAGTCGACTAGTGTCCAGACGGTTAAGACCAAGATTTAACGAGATGGAAACAACAATATAATTGGTACCGTGTTGTCAAAGGCAAGGTGGAGGGTGTCGTTGGGGAGGTTGGCGGCGACACACAGGTGGTGCCAGGTGAAGAGGCGGACGGCCACCTTGATGTACTGGTGGATGTGATAGTTGCAGCACATCACCAACACCTCCCCGCTCGGCCACTGCACGGCTGCATGCACACACACACCAAATATAATCATAAGATTATATATTGCATGATACATGAACAGTTTCGTTGTTAAACTAATAATGTTGTTGCAAAATGTGAGGATATTTGTTATTTGTCGATTTACAAAATATTGCACACATCCTGCTAGGGAAAATAAGCTGCTAGAGTTTTGGGAAAAAATTAATTGTTCGCAACTGTTGTGGGATTGTATCCTGGGGAAGGTCAATAATTTGACTAAGGGGAATCTCGATAAACAACCCATCCTCAAACCAAGACCATTCTATCCAGCGGTCGACCCCAAAGACGCACTCATAAATTTTAACATGCTGTTCATTCAAAACAGGAGTTTTCTCAAATATAAATTTACATTATTTTATATTACCATATTGTACACATTTAGGCACTAGTTAGGTTAGATTTTTAGCTTCTGTTGGCGATTATTTGTTGTACGCAGGTGAAGCAGTTACAGCGTTGAAGTCCGAACAAAAGTAGTCAGTGAAGCCCTTGTTCAGGAAGTGTTGAATGTAGTCAGTTGCTAGTCGTGTGTAAACCGTTTTTCATTTATAAACGTGAGTTTGGCGGGTGCATGGCATGGACTTTGGGTCTTTGCTTAGAGAACGGGCTGCGATAAACTTAAGTAAAGGTTTTCTGTCAAGTGAAATTATTACACTGACTCAAGGGTTAAAAAGTTCGAACTCAACAAGAGCTGCTACACCTACCCAGTTTGAGCTCCTCGAAGGCCGTGCCGTTGGTGTAGCTAAAGATGGTGGCTGGCTGGCCCCCATTCAGCTGGTGGAACCGCACACACAGGCTGAACTGACACGAAAATATTTTGTAAGCTTATTTCAATATCTATTAGGTTCATACTCTTACATTGAAGTATCTAATTTGACCTTCTCATACCTAGCGTACCTAGCTAGATATGATTTCAGCATTGAAATCAGCATTTTCAGCTTTGTCCTGTAGAGTTTTATCTTGCGAGAAAGTTATTAATATATTACCTATACATTCGATCAATAGCAGTGCAATGAATTATGGAAAATCATCTCTATGAAACAGTTTCATATACTGTAGAGTGTGAAGGTAATGCAAGTGTGGCTCACGTTCCTCTAATAATGTTGGAGGGCTGCTGTCAGCACTGTCAGCCTTGGATGACGGGTTGAAGATTGGGAAGAAGAATTAAAGTGAGTATATGCGGAAAAAGAGTAGGATAGTCGAGTTTAATTCTTAACTTTTTTTCCCTCCCCCATGCACACGCCATCAAATTCTTCTGACAAATAATTCTTAAGCACTACTCGCCCACTAACACGCTCCCATTAATTAAAGCTGCTCTTTTTTTGTTGTCTACGATTTAACATTAAAAATAAATGATAGAAAGCATGATGGCGGGAATAATAAGACATTATTACCGGGAACAAAGGAGTGGTCGATAGCGATGACACCTGTTGCTTATAAGTGCATGTAGTAGGATATAGAATATGAAGGAATATGACACGAGGTGCACCTGGTGTTGTGGTGGTGGTGGTCAGGTGCGAGGTGGTGCACTGGGTGTGGTGGTGGTGGTGGTCGGGCGGGAGGTGGTAGTGCACCTGGCAATAGTCAGACTGGGCCGGGTGAGCGCTGTGTGTAAGGTTATGGAGTTGTGGCAGTAAGTACCTTTGTAAGCCTGGGGAGTGCGTCGGGGCCACTTTCAACGTAGGTGTGACTGGTGGCTCGTCCGTCCTCCTGCAGGAAGACCCCCACCACCGCCTGGCCCCCCACGTCTACTGCTGGGGGGGGGGTAATATTAAGCCCCGCTAAGGCAACTCTAAACAGCAGGCACGTTAGTAAATATTCCAACAATTTAAGATATCAAGCATTGTGTTGTCGAGCATTTCATGCAAGTTTATCTGTTTAAGTCGAATGCGTTTACACTAACACTAGTTCCCGAGCCTCTCCTTACTGGCTGTCGGTTATCTTATGAAGCAACAACCGAGCCACCTATTCCTTGCAATATCTACGCTTGAGACAATTGTGTTGGCTTCTATTCTGCTCCTCGATTCCATTTAATGTTCAATATCCTTACGTTAATATTTTGTTTATTTCTAGCGTGTGGTGTTTGAGGCGTGTGTGAAAGTGTTGTAGGGCAGGAATATAGGACGAGGTGTGCCTTTTAACGGGGTGAGAATAGCTTGAGCTACCTCATCCCTTTGTGTGTATTTTACCTCAATAAACTTATTTCAATTTCAGGTACCTGTGGCGAAGGCTGCCGTGCTGATCATGAGGGGGAGAAGAGCCAGAAGTGATGCCATCATTGTCCTCGCCACCTGCTGCCTTCACCCCGCCCAGTGTCACTAGCAAATTATGAAAAAAACTATATGAATTATATTTGCGTTAAAATAATGCATCTGTATTAATGCATCTTGTACGGTCAGAGATTGAACACCGATCTGAAAGAAGCGAGAGAGATCTTGTGGGAGAGTGGCAGTAAGGCTTCAGTGTCACAATGTATCCAAAAACTGGATAACCACAAAATCTACACTAAGCCATATTCATTTGTGGACAAAAGATGACTCCAACTTGTAGTGGGCAGTCTTAGTTAAAGAGTTGGATACAAGCATTTGTATATCTTCTTAAAAATTTTGATATAACCGGTTTTGAGAGCCATCTAGATAATTATTACCATAATGTGTACGATGCAATAAATATTACCATCATCTAGTGTTATCTCTTGACACTTAAGAAATAATGGAAACAATGTAAAATTACATTCTAATTCTACCTATCATTCAACCATTTGCGAGGAGCAAAAATGCACAGAATAGTTAATTGTACAATAGTGATTGGCACATTTTTTATATAACAAAAATTCCTTCAATCTGTTTTTGCTCTTGTCTTCTCATCACTATTATTTCCCTCACATTATATCTCTCTCCCTCTCATTATCCTTCATTTATCACCTACCCTTCCCTGACCACACCTTATGTAATATTTAGGCAAATAGCTCCTGCTCGTCAAAGAACGATTTTACAATTAACTTTAGAATGGCTCCCTCCCTGTGGCGCCCCTCACACCTTCAAAACCGTTAAGGAGTGTATTTTAGAGTAATTAATTTGCGCCTCGTTACTCATCCCAGCAGGTAAACCATGCTCAAGTAACGTGTAGTCAGTAAGATTAACGCTATCAACGTAGAGTCATTGTTACTTCGTTTGTCTAGCTTTGCCCAGGGGGTGAGCGGGTGGAGGACTCGCCCAGGTCTTGGAGGGAAGGTTTCCCCCAGTCAGGAAAAGACTTCGCTGGATTGGCCTGCAGGAACATGACAAAGTTTACGCCCTTGCTAAGGCTGCAGTAAATAAAGACAGTATTGAACGGAATCTTGAGTTATCAAATAGGTCCCTTAAAAGTGTCATTAGACGAGAACTCCTGGATGAAGAAAGTAGGACTGTGCAAACTGGAACTAGCAGGTCCATTGTTCATCACGATGAAATGTGTGAAGTAAAACATGTGTATGGGGCAAGTAACAAAGTCAGTAGACTAACAGATGTTGTCACAGCTCGCACAAGACTTGGCTACAAGTATCTCTGGCAGTTCGGCTTGTATAGGGATCTAGATGAAGTAAAGTGTGTGGACAAAGACAGGGACACACACAACACTATTTTGGATTGTAGTAAAATTGAGCCATTTAGAGATAAATCGAAGCTCACTCTGTATGATATGGCAAGCTATCTTATTACCATGGATAAATTACCTGAAATCCTTGCACTGTATCCACATTTCACTTCCAGTAGATGAACGACATATGAGATTCAGAAACAAGTAGTGTATTGTGAGGACTAATAATAAACAGAAGCTCCCCTATGACTCTGTAATATCCCCATTGGTCAAACTATTATGTATTAGCGATAAGACCTACCATTAATGTATGACGACTTACTGTAAATATATAGATCTTGAAATAGCACTTTCTCTGTAACTAGCTGACATTGTAACTATAAGGTGTGAAGGATAGATGAAACTGTTTATGTAATAATCTAAGATGAGGTCTGATAAAGACCTTTTGTGCCCTCTGTAATGCTTTTTGCGCTACCGCTCACAGGATGAGTATGGGGTGCACAATAAACTAGCCGGCTTCGGCGGCAACAATGGTGCCTCTACTTTGCTTCAAGATTGAAGTTTTAAGTGATATTATTTTACGTTGTGGTGCGGAGGTGTTATTAACTATACTGCCTCCGGTACCCACAAGACTGTTTACCTCGTCCACCATACCTTCCCTGGAAACACAAATCGAAACTGTCTCTATTTTCCGCTTGTTACAACTTGTAATAAAGTTGTTACATCTTGGCTTAACGTGTTTATGACGTATTAGAACGTTGTTACAACTTGCTATATTGGTTGTTATAACTGGTTAGGAGGTGTTAAAACTTGTTCGAACGTTGTACCAACGTCGTAGTTTCGGTGTGTGTTTAGCGGGTTGTGGTTACCTTGAGGTGCTTCCGGGGCTTAGCGTCCCCGCGGCCCGGTCGTCGACCAGGCCTCCTGGTTGCTGGACTAATCAACCAGGCTGTTGGACGCGGCTGCTCGCAGCCTGACGTATGAGTCACAGCCTGGTTGATCAGGTATCAACCATAATGTATGTGTACAAGGAGTATTGCAGTAGGCTTACTGACCAAGAAATACTGCAGTAGAACCATAGCTTATGTGATGCAAGGTCAATTTACACTAAAGTCTTTACTTTTATATAGCCTATTTAAATATCTTTATAAAATATCCTTTCAAATTACGATTTTTGCAGTAGTCCACTTGTCTACAATTGTCGCTAAACTATCGTTTTCCTATATATTTTGTATATTTCATCTATTTATCCCTTCCGTCTATTTATCACCTTTACAAAATATTAACTTCAATGCTCTTCACTTAGCAAGAAAGATATTTCTAATGTTAAGGATTAAATAAATAGCAAGTATGTTGGATTATAAAAGTATTGCTACCACTTCCAGAGAGAGAGAGAGTCAAGTCTCCTACTGGTCATTCCAGGATGCTACCTACACGTCTCCTACTGGCCATTCCAGGATGCTACCTACACGTCTCCTACTGGCCATTCCAGGATGCTACCTACACGTCTCCTACTGGTCATTCCAGGATGCTACCTACACGTCTCCTACTGGTCATTCCAGGATGCTACCTACACGTCTCCTACTGGCCATTCCAGGATGCTACCTACACGTCTCCTTCCTAATAATTATCTCTTTATTGCTAGATGACCAATGGCATCTGGTGTAGCGTGGCCCAGGACACTAGCCCTGGACCACTTGGTCCCGGGTTGTGAGTTGACTACACTAACTTGGTCTACAGGGAAGGGTTTATTTATCGGCTGATTACTGTGTAACGCCTCTGGTGCCGTAATGGCGATGTTATTGGTGCCAAACGATAGAAAAGATATCAGCGAAGAAAATTCGAATAGCAAGAATTCCTATGAGATAAGAATCCACAGACTAAGGACCGGGCCAAACCAGTCTCAAACGTTTCAGAAACTGGTTCCGAGTTTAAAACAACAAAAATGGTTCACTCACTATGCACCTGCAAGGTTATCATCCGCTCACTTGAGACTAGACGAGTTCTATCTACGTCCGGGTACAAGGGACAGGGTTCCTCCCTTAGACACAAAAAACACAGCATGTATAAGGATTCAAGAATGTACCAGTAATTCACGCCCGGCAATACCATGCGGGTAGCCGACTCCCTCACACGTATCAAAGTGCACATTGAAACTATTTGTATTTCCCTATACCAAGCGTTGACGAAGCCATTCACACGCCCTGCCGCGATGTCTTCAAGCAAGGTCCAAGTATGCTCCGAATCTCACACCTGATAAACAGATTATGGTTGATTAGTCTCACACACCTGCTCTATCACTGACACTAGAAAAAAACGCGATTCATTCCCCGCTAACATTCATTGATTTGTCTGCGGAAGCTTGGGGGGGGGGGGTGTTGATAGGCTGTATTATCGTGCTATGTGGGGGGCCGCCACCAGCCAACACATGGGAACCCCTCAACATAGCCTATATTGAGAGTCGCGTCAGAGTTCAGTTTAGCTCATTTATTATGCACCCGATACCCATCCCGTGAGCGGTAGTGGGAAAAGGTTACAGAGGCACATAATAGGGTCAGGACCTGAACCCCCAAAATTCATTTACCAGGTTACAAGTTACAGTCTAAAGCTAAATGCACAATTCAATGTATATTATTTCCACGGGACTTGAGAACGACGACAGGTAAAGTCTCTAAACTAAGCAACTTGCATGTGGTGAGCAAGTTTCATAATTTCATTTGCTTAGCACGCACATCCCACCCACACACCCCCCCCCCCCTTCCCCCGCATCCAGTGGGCGGAGGCAGAAAGGTTACACTCGCCCACATTAACTACCTACAGTTAGCAAACTTGGGATATTTGGCTAAAGCTTATAATAGTAACTCCTTCTGAATTAAATATTTACACATTTCTCGTAATTATAATAGAGTTGTCTGTAATACTGGGTACGTATCTTTTCGCACTCCATCACTTAGTGACGAACGGCGTGTGAATAATTTTGCTGACAGTTTAGATGTGGTAAGATCTAGTTCAACAGGTAATGCAAATTCCCAAAAGACTTATAAATGAGTCCAAGCCGAGCAGAAGTTTTACCAAGGAGTACAAGAGCCTAGGCAAGATTTATTGCATCTTGTGAAATGCCACTCGAGACAATCGGAAATTTTCCTTCGTGCCCGTCAGTGCGTGACAAGTGGCGGGAACACGGAGCACATCACCCCGCCACCCAACACCACACAACATCTTGAGGTTATCTTGAGATGATTTCGGGGCTTTTAGTGTCCCCGCGGGCCGGTCCTCGACCAGGCCTCCACCCCCAGGAAGCAGCCCGTGACAGCTAACACCCAGGTACCTATTTTACTGCTAGGTAACAGGGGCATAGGGTGAAAGAAACTCTGCCCATTGTTTCTCGCCGGCGCCTGGGATCGAACCCAGGACCACAGGATCACAAGTCAACCGTGCTGTCCGCTCGGCCGACCGGCTCCTGCTCAACATGCTCAACTTAAAAGAACAAAACTTACGTTCTTTTTTTTTAAATATAATTAAAACAAAGCGAGATGAAAGCTGTTGAATTCTTAACAAAAAGTAGTTGCCAAGACCAAACTGGTTGTTGGCTTAAGAATCATGAACCTGCTAACATAAAATTCCTCATATACCCACAATAAGTGCAATGAATGTCTTGGCAAGGAAAGCCCTGTAACCGGATATAAAACAAAAAACGTAAAAAAATTAAGGTAATGACGGTCAAGTGTGTTTTGGCCTGCTA